AGTTTGTTTTGGGGTGTTATGGGTGAGATGTCGGGGTTCCACACTGTTCTCTGGGGCTGTGAGTGGATATCGACTCGATGGCAGTAAGTTTGTTTCGGGGTGTTATGGGCGAGATGTCGGGGAGACTGGCCTGGGAGTGGGGAGAGCTGGGCTCCAGACCCTTCTGTCATGGATTTGCTTTATGACCAAGCAGATCCTCTCTCTCTAGGCCTGTGTCTCCTCACAGTAATAATAACTAAATAATAACATAATGCAGGAGAAAGATGGGCAGTCTTCTCCTGTGTGATTAACTGCCTCTGAAAACCCGCTGGAGAGTCTGTTATGGTCTGGTTCTGACTCTACAGTACACAACAACAACAACAACATAATAATCACTAAATAACACTATACACAATTTACTGAATTATTGTTAGATGCCAAGTCTTCATATAAACAAAACCAGAGAATAAAACAATGCCGAACCCACTGCGCGTTCTGACACACTTGACCCTGTGGGTTGGAGCAGAACTTCCAGGGAAGTTGCCCGCGTCCACCGTCTTTACAGAAGTTGGCGCTCCAGCATCCCCCCCCCAAGGAATAGGTGGTACCTTCCACCACCTTCGGGTTCAGTAGCCGAGCACTTTACTCACTGCACCACCAGGCTTCCTCAAGTCTCTGCAAACCAAAACGCAAACCCATGGCCAACAGGCTGAGTCCAGCTCATGGCGACCCTCCGTCCGGTTTCTGAAGCTGTAAATAGTTGCTAGAAGAAACTGCCCCTCTTTCTCCCACAGAGCAGGTGCTGGGTTCAAACTGCCAACCTTTCAGTTCGGAGTCCACACGTTTACACCCTGTGCCTCCAGGCCTCCCTCACGTGTTGGTAAAAGCCCTGTGGAGGAGATGCTGTTCCTGTTCCCTCCTGAGCCTCGGGGTCTATTTCATGAGTCCAAGGAGGTTGGAAGTGACGAGCTGGTCTCCCAGGAACCCCACAGCTCCCGGCCGGCTCCCCGTCACTGCTCCGGGCCCTGCTTGTCCTGTGACAGTTGAGCTGGCCACTAGGTGTCAGCGCAGCCCCAGTCAGGCCCGCGGCCCACGGCCAGGCTCTTGGCCTTCCCAGACACAATTCCACCTGGGCCCTGAGTGTGTTAAAAAGCTCATTAAATCGAATCACCTGCTGACTCAACCTGTCCAGATGACCAGAAGTTTGAGAGAAACACTCCCCTGACAAAATGAATATTCCATTACGGGCTCTGTTGGGATTAAGTTTCACTCACTTAACTTATTTCTTCCCCCGCCCCCCTTTTCCTCTCTTTCCCTAAAATAACAGGCCCAGAGTCCTCCTGGGGAACTGACTGGATTCCGAAAGGTACGCTGTCTGCCATCTGCTCCAAGCGGCTGGAGGGCAGGGTGGCTGGAGGGTGGCAGGCCTGTGGCGCTGTGGGACTCTGGGGTTTTCTGGAAGGTTCTGTGAAGTCTGGGGAGTATTCGTGAGAAATCAGCTCTGGACTGCACTGTGCTGGGCCAGGGGTCTTTGCTCCTGAGAATTTCCAGGCTAATGGAAAAGGAAGCCAGACAGGGATGGGCAATGATGGCAGGCATGTGACAGAGAGATGCCTCAACCAACACTCCAGACCCACTACATTGAGTGGATTTCTAGTCACAGCCACCCTGCAGGATGGAGTAGAACTGCCATTGAGAGTTTCCAAGTTCTTTATAGAAGCAGAGTGTCTCATCTTCTCCTGAAGAGTGGCTGATGGGTTCAAACTGTTGACCTTTTGGTTAACTGGCAAATTCTTTAACCGCTGTGCCACTAAATCTCCCTGATAGATAGACAGACAGAGATAGATAGATAGATAGATAGATAGATAGATAGATAGATAGATAGAGACGAGAGAGGCTAGATAGATGGATAGATGGATATATGGATGGATGCATGGATGGATGGATGGATCGACGGACAGATGGGTACATGAATGGATGAATGGATGAGTGGATAAATAGGTAGGGCAAGAGATGGATGGGTAGGTGGGTAAATGGATAAGAGGATGGATAGATGATTAGATAGATGATAGATAGATAGATAGATAGATAGATAGATAGATAGATAGAGATAGGCAGATGGACAGACCTCAGTTTCCCCCAGTCTTTTCACATTATGACACATGTAGGAAGTAGTTGAAATGGGGCTTGTATCTGGACCACTCACAAGCCCTGTCCTGGCCACTCCGGGACCGCTGGCCACTCCGGAACTGCTGGCCAACCTGAAGCACCGTTTTCCGCCCACCTCTCTGCCTTGAATGCCACAGGTGGTGTCTGTGTTGGGAAGCCAGAGCTTCTGTCCCTGAGCCTGCATGAGAATCATTCAGAAAGATCTTTAAAATAGATTCTTGTTCCCCTCTAGAGTCTGACCCCGTAGGATTTGGTTTCTCTGAGTGCCCGGGGACCACACTTTGAGACTCGGAGTCTGAAGCCGTTGTCTCAAAGGCAGGCGCCTTCCATGCTCGTGGGCCTTTTGACAAGTCGCTTAGTGTCTATTTCTCAGTGACTCAGGTAGGAGCCACTGAGGACGGGTCTGTGGACACAGGTGGGGACTTGACTGCCACATCCCCGAGGCCCAGCGCGGACCACAGACACTGCCCTGGCTTCCCTGGGGGAAGAAGAAGCAGTGGCACCCGACAGGGGACATCCGCCCTCTGGTTGGGTCTGCTGTGGCTTTGTAGGTTGGGGGTGTGCACATGTGTGTGTGGGCGTGTGCACACGTACCCGTGTATGCCTGTACCCACAGAGCTGACAGGTAGAAAATAGGTGCTGTCTTCAAAAGCTGTAGCCTTGCCAACAGCCAACCCTCCCCTTTATTATTTTTAGTCCAGAGGAAGGAAAAAATTCTGCCCCAAAGCGAATTATTTATGAGCAGTTGCTTCTGCGTGCAGGTTTCCCCCACCCCCACGTCGTGCATGGAGTCATTGAGAGCCCCAGCTACGTCACGAGCTACAGCCTGATTGTTTGTATAAACAGAACAATTAAGATTTATTAAATTTGCAGCTGCCTGCGCACTTGCTGTGTTTCCCCACAGTTCAGGCAGCAGGGGCGATGTGGAATCCAGGCCAGAAGGCTGGTTCCTGTACTGAGCCTGTGAGGTGGGGCGCGGGGGTCTGCCTGCCTGAAATAGACTTTCATTTGCAAGCCCTTCAGTTTGTCTGGGTGGCTGAGGGCAGCATCCAAGTGCCTACGTGCAGGAGGAGAGAGCAGATGGTCATGCCCGGCACGGGGTGGGGTCTGTGGCTTCCCGCCTCCTGCTTGATACGCTTAACTTGGTGGGGAAACTGAGTCACAGAGAAACTCCTGGATCTGGGGAGAACCTTAATTGTCAACTTCCTTGTTGGGCTCTCTGAAGGTAGCTCATACCCCTTTGTGTGTGTGTGTGTGTGTGTGTGTGTGTGTGTGTGTGTGTGTGTGTAGCATTTAAGAGGCATATTAGAATGCCTCATTTCAGGAAGCATTTGAGATTTAGGTGATGATGAAGTAGCAGCTAAAGATGAATGGGGTGTCAGTGACAACGATGGTGCAGAAAGAGAGGAAGGAGATGACAGTGATGGTGGTGGTGCTGAGGAGGAGGATGATGCCGATGGGGGAGAGGAAGGAGAAGAAATTGGTGATGGTGGTGAAGTGGTGATGTCATTGATGATGTTCAGTAATAACAGCAGCAGTACTTGAGGACCTACTGTGTGACAGGCTCTGTCCTCTTTAATGCACACAACTCAGCCACGTGGCCACCATGATTACCTTGTTTACAGACAAGAACCTGGGGGCTGAAACAAGCTGAGTGGCCTTCCCAGGGTTCACCCCAGTGCTCTTAGGCAGACTGACGTCACCACTGCACAACCTCCATCACTTCCAATACTTTCCCCTTCCTTTCGTTCCTCGGATGGGTTGGACCTTTGAACCGTGCCCGAGATCCACGCTTGTTTTTATTGAGCTTGGCAGATGCTTCATTTTCTACCGAGTGAAGGGTTTTGGCAACCTTGCACTGACAAGTCTATCAGGATCTTTTTTCCCAACCACGTGTGCTCACTTCATATCTTTGTGTCATAGTTTTTGGGATTTTCCCCCCCCGATGTTTCAACTTTTCATAATCCTGCTGTACACTTGATAGATTATAAAACAAAAAGCCAAACCCACACCCACTGAGCGGGTTCCCATGGCAACCTCCATCACATTTCTGAGGCTGCCTTGCTCTCTCGTGAGGATTGTCTGGTGAGTGGAACAGCCAGCCTTCCAGGTAGCAGCCTGATGGACTCTAGGATAGTGTTGCTGTGCGCTGTCAAGTCAGACCTCCTCATAGCCGACCATCCTGTAGGTTTTCAGAGGCTGCAAACCGAATGGGAGATTGTCCATCTTTCTCCTTCAGAGTAGCTGGTGGATTCGAGCTGCCTGACTTTGGGTTGGCAGTGCAATTCTTTACCCATTCAGCCACCAGCGCCCCCTATAGGATTAGTAAGCATAACTTAAAAAAAAAACATATATAATTATATGCATAACCCTGGTGTAGCCACTTACCGTACAGAGGTAACTCGTGGTTGCTGTGAAGCTGAAGACTGTGACACTGATGTGTCATTACCCATAGTGGACAGGGTTTGGTGGAGCTCCCGGATTAAAACAAGCTTGGAAGCAGGAGTGGCACCCACTTCTGTAATAGCTTGCCTCCAGAAACCTTATGAACCTGGAGAAAGGATGAAAGTCACACAAGTGTTGAGGACTTTTGTTCATAGGGTCGCTATGAGTTCCCTATGACTTTACGGCACTTAACAACAGCAACAACATAATTATATTCATAGGAAATCCCAAGAAATATTCCAAGAAAAATACCATTAGAATTAGTAAGTGAATGTAGCAAAGTCACAGCATAGAGCATCAGTATGCAAAAATAAATTGTATTTCTACCAGTAAACTACCAACTGTGTACTACCAATAAACCATTGAAAAATAAGCATTTAAATATATTTTTTATAATGTAGGTAAACCAGTGTAAACTTTTTAAAAAAATTTAATTACATGAAAGTTTTTAAAAGTTGTAAGAAAAATGGAAATATGTACTGTATGAAAGTAAGCGTAACTTTTGTATGTACTGAGAACTTGGTAAAACTTGCTTTATTGCGTGTCTGGGATAGAACGTGCAGGGTCTCCGAGGTACTCGCGAGTATGTCTATACTTACATTAGCCCATTGCACAGATGAGGGAGCTGAGGCTGTGGGGCTGCAGGGTGGGTGCCCAGAGCCCGCCTCAATCACGCATTTACTCCGCAGGCCTGGGAGCGCTCTCCCGGATGGTGTGCTGAGGCTGCGGGGTTACAGGGTGCTTGCAGGGTGCCTCCTTGCCAAGCCCACCTGGCTCACCCCCATTTGCTCTGCAGGCCTGGCAGTGACGCCCACTCCTGGCAGGTGTGCTGAGGCTGTGTGTGTGTGGCAGGATGGTTTCATGGTGGCCCCCCGAAGCCTGCCCAGCTCACCCCCGTTTGCTCCGCAGGCCCGGTGGCGTGGCCTCGGTGGCCTCTCCCGGAAGGTGTGCCGATGCTGCATGGTTGCAGGGTGGCCCCCCTGGAGCCCGCCCGGCTCACGCCCCTTTGCTCCGCAGGTCCAGCGGCGTGGCCTTGGCAGCCTCTCCCGGAAGGTGTGCTGTGCAGCGCTGCCCCTGCAGCTGCTGTTGCTGCTGCTGCTGCTCCTACTCTTCCTGCTCCCGGTCGGCGACGACGCGCGCAGCTGCACTGCCGCCAACACCTTCGCTCGCTCCTTCAAGCTCATGCTGCACCACCAAGGGCCCCCACCCACATAGTGCCGGGACACTCAGGTGACTTCCTTTTCCAGCCTCCATCAGCCCCAGGCCTCCCCAGAGGACACGGGGGTACTGGGAGCAGAGACTGACCAAGGGCACAGAACAGCCACCGTGCAAATCTGCGTCCACGCTCCAAGAGCAGAATTCCTTTTTATACAGTGTTGTCTGCGTCTATTTATACAGATGTCTGTGTATGTGCAGCTAAGGGCTCTGTGTAGCCGTTTTATATGCTCCGATTGTAAACGTGTGCCTCATTTTCTATCTAATGGGTCTGTTTTGGAGTTGGGAAGACCCCTGTTTGCTCCTTTGATGGGGATTTGCAGCCTTTTGGTCTGGTTCTGCCCTGCACCCTAGAAATCGGGAGCATTTAATGTCACTGTTATGATAACCTCGGACCCAGAGCCAGCTCTCGGGCCCAGGTGTTTGTGAAGCACCAGCACAGAGGACAGCCAAGGCCGCCAGTCCTCACCCAGCCCAGTGACCCAGTGATGTTCAATCAGAACAGAGGTGCTTGTCTAGGGGAAGTTGACTGGAAGTGGATGTGGGACATATGAGCATCCCAGGGAAGTGACAGTGGGAGAGAGATGTGAGGGAGGAGAGGAGAGATGGCCCAGAACAGAGCAGGGACTGAAGGACCCTTCCAGAAAGGCTGGCTGTGTCCGTGTGCCAGGTCAGGGAGCAAGGACAGGGGAGGGACTTTGTGAGATGTCCCTACAGAATGGTGAGAGGCAACAACACAGCCCACACCTCCAAGTGGAGCTGAAGGTCTAGAGGGAAGCACCCACCACAGGGGGCTAAGGACCAAAGGACTGAGGCAGGACATGCCTTGTCGGACCCTCCCTTCTCCCCCAGAGGCGGGTCCACAGGAATAAGAACACCTTCAAAGGCGACCAGGGCCAGCTGCCCCAAACCAGGCTTCCTCCAGCAGCCACCCTGTAAGCTGTTTTCTGCCCACCATGTGGCCAGGAAGGGGCTGGAGCTGAGGGCAGGACCAGGTCTCCTCCTTCCCCAGGGAATTCTGGGACAGTTCTAGTTGGTGGTGGATATTTGCCGTCAAGTTAGAACCAGCTCGTAGCTGACCATCCAGGGGGGTTTTAGAAGCAGTTAATTGCGCAGGAGGAGACTGCCCATCCCTCTTCCACAGGACAGTTCTAGAAAACTTTAAAACTGGATTGCATTGTACCTAAACCAACACTAAGGTTTCCCTTTTAAAACAATCATTAAAAAGGAGTTTGCTACAAATAGGAGACCAGAAAAGACCCCGAGCCTTTGTCTCAGATTGGAATCTAAGTATTGTTGACCCAGAGGGGAAACTGAGTCTTCAAAGTGGGTCCCAGGGAGGGGCATGCCCGCTGCTTTTCAGCGTTTGTAGGGCAGGAGATGCTTGGTGCTGCCTCAGCATCCTTGGCTCCAGCTGTTTGGAAGCCAAGCCATCAGGCACTTCTCAGCGTTTCTGCCAAGTTAGGGGAAATCTAGGTTCTGGCTGGGCTGGCTTTGTCCTGCCTGTGAAAGTCCAGCTGTGGAAGCAGCTTTGGGATGCTCCCATCCCGACCCTCCCATTTCACAGCTGGGAAAACTGAGGCCCAAGAAGACCCAGTGTGGAGAAGGAACTCCCCACCTATGTCCACATGGTGAGAAGCAGAAGGTCAGCACCTACACTGGGTCCCCTCGGCCCCTGCAGTGTCCAATCCACCATCACACAGCCCACCTCATATCAGTAATGTCAAAACAAAAAGCCCTGTGTCCACACTATGGGCATCTGGGCCCTGTGGTGGGGTGGGAAAGAGTATCTCTGTATTTTTTTAAACTTGGACAATGATGCCCTAAATTCTGCTTGTTTGCATAACTTTTTTATACAAGAGAACTGATGTTTATATTTTCCATACTTTTTTTATAAATACAGTTGTGATGTAACAGCCACTCCCTGGTGCTTTCAGATACAACCTCTCTTTCGCTTGCTGTGGGCGCAGGCGTTGATCTTTGTGAGGACTCAGTTCTGCAGCCTCTTTAACAACCACCTTGAGAAACTCTCAGGTGTCATTTCTGGAACCTGACAGGGGATGTGTCAGGATGTGTCCTCCTGGCCTGAGACAGTGGACCTGGGGGTGGAGAAGTGTGGATGTATGCATTTGTGTGTGCATGTATGTACTTATGTGTACCTGTGTGTACATGTGTGTCCGTGTGTACTTGTCTGTGCATATGTGTATATGAATGTGTGTGCATGTGTGTGTCTTATGTACTTGCTTGTGTGTGCATGTTAATGAGTGTACATGTGTGTACCTGTGTATATTGTGTACCTGCTTGTATGTGTATGTTAATGAGTATACATGTGTGCACCTGTGTGTATTGTGTACCTGCTTGTGTGTGTATGTTAGAGTGTACCTGTGTGTATTGTGTATATCTGCTTATATGTGTATGTGAGTAAGTGTATGTGTGTGCCTGCGTGTGTATTGTGTACCTGCTTGTGTGTGTATGTGAATAAGTGTACGTGTGTGCCTGTGTGTATTGTGTACCTGCTTGTGTGTGTATGTTAATGAGTGTACATGTGTGTACCTGCATGCCTCTGTATGTGTGCAAATGCAGGTGTGCCTGCCTGTACATGTATGTGCATGTGTACACTGGTTTGAGAGAGATAAAGAAAAAGAAGACAGTGGCAAAGAGAAAGAAAATGAGAGAGGAGAGAAAGATAGAGGAAGGGAGGGGGAAAAGGAGGGAGGGAGGGAGGCAGGAGAGAAGAGGGGAGCATGAGGGACCGAGGCCCCGCAATGCAGCTGGCTGCCCCTCTATTGAAGGAAAGACGTGTGGGGGGAGAGGAACAGGCAGTGAGGTCGGGAGACACCCAGAGGTACCAGGTGAGAGGCGAGGAGGGAGCCTGTGAACAGAAACTCCACCTCTCCCTGGGTGCCTGTGGGTGTTGGGCCCACTAGCAGACACTTTACAAGCCTTGAATTCTTAGTCATGCTTAGAGCTCATTATTATGTCACCCTCATTTTTGAGTTGAGAAAACAGATGCTTAGAGATAGTAAGAGACTATCAGAAGTGGGATTCGAACCAGGTCTGTCTCGCTTCAGAGCCACACTTGAGGCTGACTGCCTGTCACCTCCAGGGAGGGACAGGCTTCTTTGCGCAAGTATCCCTGCCTGTGCCCGGTGGGGCTTGGATCCAAGCATGCCTGTCCCCCCATGGACTGGCCTGTGCTTGGAAAGGGCCCCACTCTTAGTTGTTCAGTCTTCACAGCTCTCAGTGGGCTGGGGACACATCACAGCCTGTGAGCAAGGACCCTGGTAGGTCTGTCATCTCCTCACCCACAGGCTGGGGGATGAGACTGGTCCACAGGTTAGAATGTCCCTAAATACACGGGCAGGGTGTGTGTGGTGCCAGGTCAAACCTCGGTGGTCGGCCAGATGGCTGCTTTCTTCTGGTTATCTGGTGGCTTCCCTTCTGGATCTTTCCTAGAACTTTCAAGAAGCCCAGCTCAGCCTAGTCCAGCCCACTGGCTATGTCTCTCTGAGCCTCCAGTGTGCACGGGGGTGTGTGTAAATAAGGGACATGTACATGCATGAAACAGTTTGCGTGAGTGCTCTGTGCTTACAGCTGCTGTGTGTGTGCATATGAATGTGTTAGAAAGCAGTGTGTGTGTGTGTGCGCGTGCGTGTACACCAGTGTGTGTGCGTGTGTGCTGGTGTGCATGCATCCATGAATGGATTGTGTGTGCATGAACGCAATGTGTGTGTGTTTGTATGATCACGTTTTCATGCATGTGAATGTGGTATGTCCTTGAATGGGTGCTCATACGTGCACATGTGTGTGCTCTGTACACACATCCCTGTCCCGCAGCCCAGCGGGCAGCCCAGCTCTCCATCCTGGGTTCCCATCATGACAGTGCCCCTGGCTCCATTCACCCGGACGCATGAATCAGGCCAGTCTTCCTGAGGCCCGGTGAGCTGTCTGGTGACAGCAACTGGTCAACCTTCTACCACGTCCATTCAGGGAGGAAGAGCCACCTGACCGTGAGGCCCTGTCCTTTGGTGTCCGTGGCTGGCTTCCGGGTGATGCCTCTTTCCTCTCAGGTCAGCAGCAGAGCAGCTAATTCTACTTCATTCTGTGGATCCCAAGTTTGTGCAGTTCTGAGTGTGTGTGTGTGTGTGTGTGTGTGTGTGTGTGTTTGGTATGTGGTATCAATGATGTGGGGGTATGTCATCTGTATATGTGGTATGTGTGTCTGTGGTACCTTTGTGTATCTGACTCTGTGTGTGTATGTGTGCGTATCAGTATGTGGTGTACAAGAATGTGTGTGTGTGTTGTGTGCTGTGTGGTAATTATGTCTGTCTGTTCGGTGCATGGTCTGTGTGTCTCCGTATGTGTCTATGGTATGCATATGGGGGGTGGTAAGTGTCTCTCTGTGTGTATTCCCATGTGTGGTGTATACACTGTCTGTGTGTACAATGTCTGTGTTTCTGTGTGTGTATGCCTGTGAGTGCTGTGTAGTGGTGTGTATATGTGTTTATGTGTGTCTTTTTGTGTGCATGTCGGTGTGTGATATACATGCTGGATGTGTGTGTGTGTGTGTGTGTGTGTGTGTGTGTGGTGTGTATGGTATTTGTGTCTATCTGTTGGGGGGGTGTCTGAGTCTCTGTGTGTGCATGTTACTGTATGGTGTACCTGTTGTGGGTGTGTTTATGTGTGTCTGTTAGGGAGAGTTTCTATGTGTCTCTGGTATACATGTGGGGATGGGGGTGGGGTGTCCTACCGGTGTGTGTGTGTATGTCTGTGTGGGAACATGTCGGGGGGTGTGCATGTCAGTTTGTGTGTACATGTTGTGTCTCTGTGTGTGCATGTTAGTGTATGGTGTACATGTCGGGTTTGTGTGTGTATTTCAGAAGCTAGTGACCCTGGCAACATTTATTGGGCACCAAAGGTATTGTTGTTGTTGTTGTTATGTGCCGTCGAGTCGTTTGTGACTCATAGCGACCCTATGTACAACAGCCCTAAACTCCGCT